GTTAGCATTGATGACACTACTAGCTACCAAATAAGTAGGTTGTTAGGGCAGAAGTGGGATAAGAGGGTAAGAAGTAGATAAATTTGCCAGGATAGCAAAATGAGTGACAGTGTAACCGTTTCGGTAGAATGTTGGTGCGGAGAATGGCAGTACTCACTGACGATGCCGGCGAAACGTCTGTGAATGAACCAAGTCCACGGTCCGATGCTAGAAATTTAGATATTTACTATGGCAGAGGTGAGTGCAACTAAGTTGTTCTGACAACAAGACCAAGTTGCAAAAACGAGGAAAACTCACTTCTATGCATCGAAAGGAGTCTGCGACCATACTGGGCGCAACATTATTTTGGTCTTCCCATCTTTGATTAAACTACGGTAGTAAAATCGCCAGAAAAGTACTGAATACAGCCGGACAAAGAAGACGATTGTAAGTCAATCTTGCCATCTGACCTTTTTAGACTGTTGTAAACTCTATGGTACCACTCCTAAGCTATGTGACCTTAAGAGTCTCTACCACTCGGATATGCTTAATGGGTTTATTCATCATACTTCTATTCAAAATGCAATTGAAACTTATGATACGGAGAGGAATAAGTTTATAGATATAAAGTCAAAGCTACGGCATCATCTGGCAGGTATCTTGACTCCGGAGGACTCTCAAAAACTGCATTGAATGACCGACAGAAAATCAAATAGGACCTCTGACTTAATTACAAAACGACACGACGATGAATTGACTAAGTTTGGGATTATAAGACAGACCAAGTTAAAGCCAGTACGTACAGGTGATATGGTTTCCGAGGGGAAAACACCTACCGATCAACATGGCGATCGGAAGAAATGAGTGAATTTAGCATAATTTTCTCTCAATCTCGAAACCACCACGATCCTAGAAAAATGACTCATCTTTTCACTTGAATTGACAAAATTCTTCTACGAGACATCCTATCGGAGGTTATCAATATCTCCGAAAAGTTCCCTGAGGTGACAAAACGGGAACTGGAGATGAAACTAATTCCAAAGATCTTGAAACACAAGAACAGATTTGCCAGGATACGCAAATCTATGAAAGTCAATGGAATCTTAAGTGACATGTTGAAAGCTGTGAATAGGAATGGGGAAATTGACGCATGGACAAGAAATTCAATCATAAGAAAGGATGCACTACCACCAACAGCATACGGATTACCGAAGATACACAAAGAAGGCGAGCCACAAAGGCTGATAGACAACAACCAGTATGGAGAAACGCACAAACTGACAATATTTTATATGTTTAAAACACAAGAAAGTAGATGAATTTTCTCAAAAAATAAAAAACATGGCACTGGAAAACATGCACTAACGGCCCTGCTGGAAATGCTGAACCGAGAGAAGGATATTCTGGAATCACAACGGATCAGGAGGGAGTCGTTAACAAGACTAATCAACTTGGCAATAAGAACCACCTATTTTACATTCAACGGGAACATTTATGCACAAATAGTTGGAGTTCCCATGCGATCGCCGCTCTCACCGCTTTGGGCAAACGTAAACATGAACAAAATAGAGGACAGCTTCAAGATGGCACCGCTACAACCGACAGTGCTCATGCGGTACCTGGATGATGACTTCGCAATTTGGTCACATGGAAGAGAAAAACTAAGGGATTTTCTGCAATTTGTAAACCAGATTAATGCGGTTACCGTTGCTGGACGTTGAAGTGATTCGCTCCAATTGGACGGTCAAAAAGACATTGTTCAGAAAGAAGTCTTGATCCGGGATAATACTCAACGTCCAGTTCCACCACAATTACAGGCTAAAGATAGGAACAATGAGGAGCATGATCATCCGAAGGCTACGTTTAGCGGATGTGGAATTTGGGGCGAGGAGTTGGGCAAATTGACTGGGCCATTTCTCGGAACCGGCTACCCAAGCGAAGTAATACAAAGAAACGTACAGCCCATAAAAAGCCGATGACAGAAGGGAGCTTACAAAAGAACAGAAAGGACGGAGCAAACATTGGAACAAGAAGATTTTATTGCACGAAAGTACCGATAAGTGGGGCCATACATTCATTAGCATTAACCTTAGATCTACACCCAATGATTGTATCAGGAATTAATGTGAACAAGGAGTCAATTATGCATTTGACGAACTTAATAATGAATTGTTCTTATCTAATCTGCAATGATAAATTATACGACCAGACA